TAATTCAATGAATAGAAAGATTTGTTCTAATAGTGTTTGTGGACAGGATATCATGTCTGCATCTTGTACTATGAATAACCACTAAGAAGACAACAATATGCAATGTATTAATTATTGCAACTGTCCTACTAATTGGATTTGGAACTGTCTCACTGCTATTTGTTTCTCAATAAAATTTTTTAAAAACTACACACACACACACACACACACAGACACACACACACACAAATAAAAGTTTAAAAAGGGGGGGCAATCTTGGAAAAGGCACTCCCCTAAACACAAGGCTATTTAAGCATCACCTGGCCTGAAACATTCGAGAGATTGTGCATCACTGCCACCCAACATGGCCTCCATAGTTATTCTCTTCAGACTGGGATATAAACCAGCAAACAAATGAACATTCATCCATTCTACCCTCCTGGATTCACTCACAGAGTAGAAGAATCAGGAAAATTAAATACCCTGCCCAGGAACACCAGCCTAATAAGGACCTTCAAAAAAGGCATAGAAGCCAGACACATGCCTGTAATCCCAGGACTTGGGGGGCACAGGCAGGAGGGTCCCAAGGTAAAGGACACAGCCTTGCTAACGGGTGGCCTGGACTATATGACACCTTATCGTCTTACACAGGGGGCAGGAGAGGATGAAACTCGGCTCCTTACAACTACATGATGATGATGAAGGAATTTCCAGAGGCTGAACAACAACCAAACAAAAAAGACATATGCCGGGAAACATGGAATTAAGAGTTTTAATTTACTGGAAATATTAGGGAAACCACAACGGTGGGCATGAAAACCTTTTGCAGTTGAATGTTTTCATTTTCAAAGACCACTTACTATCGTATTACAAATGTTATATACTAAGCTTCTAACAGGGTTAGGCATTCCTCTCTACTACTGAAAATACTCTCTTCAGGGATATACAGTACACTTATATTCAACTAGTACCTCTCGCCTGGAAACTTTCTCCCAAGCCAAGCTGTCAAGTGCTTGCTTTAATACACTCCTGAGGTCAGTTGATTACATGTCCTCTACCTTTGCATAGAATTAAATGCACAATACATGGTAGGGTAGCACTGCATATAGAATACTGACTACCCCTGAGGCTAAAATAAATACACCTCGACAAAGCCAACCTCTGTCCACAGAACCACCATCATTGCTGGGGCCTATGAAATCAGAGGAGCATTCCAGAGACCGTACTTTTCTAGGCTGGATTCAACTCATTCCATCCACTAGCTTCAGGAGGAAATTCTCATTCTGTGGACTGTCACCATTTAGCTTCCATGGACACTAAAGCCATGGAGCAAGAGAACAACTACAGCCCTAAGGAGAACAGGTATGTCCTGGCAGTGGCCTGTGCAGCCGGCTTTGTGTTACTGCCTACTGTTCCAGTGCTCATTCTTACAGCAGAACACGGCTTGGCCAAAGCTCTGCGAATGTGACTTCAAACCTTGATTTTTGATTGCAACATGGCCATTGCTGGTGACAGATTACAAGACTAGAGACAGATCTGCTATTTTATAAAGCAGAAAAACTGCCTGCCTGGCCACCTCACACTGACTGCTGTGCAGACAACCAGGAGACAATGGAGAAGAGCCTTCAAATCACACGAAGGAGCAGGTGGAGACCTTGCTAAGAAACTAGCAGAGAAGCTGCCCGGCAAGTGTGAGCCTGTTCACACGAGCAGTCTACAAACACGTTTCCCTTAGGCGCTCCCTTGCAAATGAGAAATAGTAAGCAATTTACCGAGACACACAGCTACATAAAGGGACCTGTTAGCAGTAAACATGGAAATAATAAGGCTAATAGAATGAACATATGCTTCTAGTCAAAATATGAACAGAAAAGGTTTGCAAAGGGCCCTCCGCAAGCGCTTCCCCAGCTAGCGCAAGGGCCTGAGTTCAATCCCCGGTTCCACCAAAAAAAAAAAAAAAAAAGGGGGGGGGGCGGCGCACGCCGCACTCCAATTTTGGATCTACAAGGCTCAGTAACACAAGCACAGAACAAGTCTGAGTGTAACTGGTCCCTTGGTTACACCCAGATGTTTGCTATGGATCTGTTTACTTTTGTTCCTCCAGCCTGTGACTTGTACTATAAAGGCAAAGATGTATGACAAGGGGGAGAGAGGGAACAAAGAAGAGACAAAGAGACAGCAGGAGAGGGAGCTGGTGTGTCCGCACCTAAGGTACAGCACACCAACTTCCTTCTTGTCCTGCCATAGAAGGGTCAAAGACACTAAAAAGACATTAAAATTTATAGTACACAAAAAAGAACACAACGTTGTGTTTCTAGAATTGTGTTTTCACAAGCCAATCCCCAAGATGAAAAGGGTAAGCCCAGTTCAAGCACCACAGTATTATTTTTACCCAAATGTCAAATTTTTAAGTAGAAAAACTACAAGGTGATCTGTTTTGTGCATGCAAACACAGATAGATGTAATGCTGGATTTTCCTCAACTCCTAATGACAATGACAATGATAATGGTCAATGCAGAACCATATGCTCTTCCCTTGGTGCAAGCACCACCACCTCTTATTCCTCTCTCATGTCATGCAGATTCCCCAAGTGTGACACAATCATCCAGAAGCTCATGGGAAGCTGTGTACATGGAAGGCAATGGTGGCTAGAGATGAAGTTGAATTCACAAAAGTTCTTAATACCTCACAGCCACTTAATTCCTGGACCTTGCAAATGAGCTGGACCACTATATATGCCCAATCCAGAGTCTCTCATTTTTAAGACAAGAACTCACTATGTACCCACGCTGGCCTCAAACTCACAGAGCTCCTCCTGCCTCAGCTTCTTCAATGCATGATTACAAGCATGAGCCACCATGCCAGGCTCCCAAGTCGGGATTCTTATCCACTCTTACTTCAACTCTAATCATACTTCCCTTCACAGCAAAATAATTCTGCTTCCACAGGAACCATTCTGACCTTAACCTATCTCATCTTACTTTCACATCTGAAATCATCAGTGGTTTCTAGTCTCTGTATTAAGATTTCTGACACCTGCCCAGGGTGGGCATGGCATATATATATATATATATATATATATATATATATATATATATATCTGACTCCCTCTAGGCCTTCCCGGCCCCACAGCACCCTAACCCCTGCTACTCTCTGAAATATAGGTACAACAATCCGCCTCCATCCCACGACAAGGCAGTATGACACCACTCATGCCACCATTCAAAAGCGACACACCTGGGCCTGTGACCAGCTCCTATGACCACAGCAGCAGGTAACAAGTTTTATTGTGAAAAAGCTTAAGTTGCTATTGTGCATTAGTCCTACCTCCCCACTAAGCCAGAGCTCCTTTCTGTCCTCTACCATGTCATGAAGCAAAAGTAGGGACAGCTGAGCATCAGTAAGTTGACAAAGCAGAAAAGCCCAACAATAACGGATGTCAGGCACAGATTTGCACTCTGGTGAGCCACACTCACTCTAAGCATCAGTTTGCTATAGAGTTCACAAAGGCACAGTGCTTAGCTGTTAAGGTAAAGAAGAAGAGCCTTCCTTTGCCCCTCCGACAAGCTCTCACCAACACCGGCCTCCTTCCTATGTAAATCCTAACAAAATGCATCTACCATGCCAGCTAATAGGGGCTCAAGAGAAAATTAAATCTTCAACCATTGACCTCTCTACTTCCCCCTTCTGTTCCCTCTTCTTTGTCCCCATAGCTCACTATTCCAATCAAGTTACCCAGGTCTCTCATAGCCACCTCCACAATCACTGTATCTATACCCCATTTTGATCGGTGCATGGTATTCTGATCAGCCATGGATTCCATGCATAACATGGTCCCCTAAGATTATAATGAAGCTGAATCGCTGTCATCTACTGCCACTACAGCCATCACTCCCATGTTTGTGATGCTGCTGATGTCGATGTAAACCCTACTGCTTGCCAGTCATGTAAGAGTGTGTGTGTGTATTACAATTCTGCCTACTGTTTCTGTTGCTTTATAATGATAATGAACAATGATTAGAGTGTATATCACTGATGTAAAAAGCATATGGTAAAATAAACTCATGACATGTTTAGCAACCAGAGTGTCGTCCATCCCACATCCATATCTCAATGGCACCAAGAAGCCCTGCTGAGCAACTGGCTACACCATCTGGCTTTGTGTGGGTATATTTTGGCAAAACAGTATCACATAATAATGTTTTTAGAATATCTTTAACAAATACTGGATATTTATATCCTCTTGTGTATATTGACATACCAGCTATTAGCCCACTGTTACCTCTGACCAGATAACTGCCCGACAATTACAAATTACCAAAGTGCTTCCTCATCAATTCCCTCCAAGAAATCTTCATTATCAAGGCCACCATGTCATTTCAGAGCACCACTGTAATAAAGTTACTTCTGTACTGCAAAATGACTTAGCACTTTGCACACCCAACTTAGCTAAACAGCGCGAGCTGTTTTATCTCTCATATCCACCCTTTTATTTCTGCTTTTTTTGTTCCTTCTCCTCACCTCATACCCACCAATATTTAAGAAAAAAAAAAAAAAAATGTTTGTGTCAAAGTATGTACACAGTTTCTTAATTTCTTTCACAAGGGGAATGAGTTTTCTTTCTACACTATTTTTATCTGCTGGTCTCAATAACAAAAATTTTGACACCAAACTCTGTACCAATCTTAACTACCCCTATTCAGACCTAACAATTCCCTCTTCTGACCCCTGTCATCTCAGCGGTTATAAAATTCATCTGAGGTCCCACAACATACTAAAACCTGGTCTCACCTTGCTCTCTTCATCTAGAACACCCAGGGCATTTCTGCGCTGTACTGATTATCTCTTTGCCCATAAAGAATCTGGCACTTAGCAAAGAGCACACAGCTGGGGTTGTTATTCCCCAGCTACCATCTTTGATTTCTCCATCCTCCATTCTCACGGGATGGATGGCCCCTTCTAGCTATTACCCAATGCTCCAGGTTTCATTTTTGCTACCCAGAGACTATAGTAGACCTACCATGCCCATTATGAACGTGCTTGTGGGCTTTTCCTTTCCTGGGGGTTGACTGGCATGAAGATGAAGTGTTGTTGGTGGCTGTTTTGACATCTTCTGTCTCATCTTCTTCTTCCTCCACATCTTCCTCATCCTGAGAGCTTCCAAAATATACCATATTGTTGGGCAGCGCAGGAGAACCTAGAGGGTTAAGAGAAAGAGCCCATGAACACTGACTGTGATACTCATTCATCCCTTCAAGGGAAGGCGTGATCTGGGGGAGCCACACACTAACCAAACTCAACACACACAGAAAACAAAGCTACTCATTCTCCACAGCCACTAAATATCACCCCCCAACTACAACTCCATCTGGTCCTTTTAACAGATCTCAAAAAATTCCCACAGCCGGCAACAGTGGTATTCACCAAACATAACAAATTTCAATGTTTAAGCCCTTATCTAAATAGTTCACCAAGCAGAACAGAACTCTTGCAAAGACCAACCCAAACTGAGCAAGAAAAATAGCCACCTGCATTAGTGAGAAAGAGAATGGTGCACGTTATGCATTTCATTTACCAGAAGTTTATAAAGGGAGGGAAAAGTAGCAAAAGCAAAACTTAACTCTCACCCCACACCACACACCTCACTCCCCAGGGCTAGGACTCAACCCAAGTCCTTGTCCATGCTAGACAAGTGCTGTACCACTGAGGTAGGCCACATCCTCAACTTCCTTTTCTTCCCTCCCCCCACCCCCCAGTAACAGAAATTGAGCTCAGGATCTTGTGCTTGCCAGGCCGGCACTGTTCCACTGAGCTATATCCCTGCCTAGCCCCAAACTGCTGTGAAGTCACTATCTTATATTCTTAATAGGCGAATGAACCACATGGATTCCCAAACCCCCAACTTAAAAGCTATGTTGATATTACAATTAGATAACACAGTGTAAAATTACTCTTTTGTTTTGAGATAGGGTCTCACTATATGGGTCAGACTGGCTTTTAATTCAATATGTAGACCTTCTGGCCGGGCACCTGCACACCCTCCTGCCTCAGCCTCCCAGTGGCAGGCACTGCAGGCATGTGCCACAGCCACGCTGAGCCAGAGGGAAGATTATGGAAATGAACTCCTGGGGAGCGCCAACTACAATGACCAGGTTTAAAAAGAAAACGCTGCCCTGTCCCCAAAGAAGAGTGCAGGTTCCTTGTTCCAGTGTGTGCTTACGTGCCTATAAGAATGCATTTTAGTTACTCTACATTTCATTAACCAACAAGCACCTTATTCACAAAATCAACTATGTTAAACAACAGGCAAACGTGCTGCAAAATGACTGACTTTAGAGACAAGGGTTTTGAATAAGAGATAATCACTAGACACATGTTCATGAATTACGGTTCTAAACAGCCAAAGGTGGTGGACGGGACAGTGAGCGGTGCCAGCCAGGACAGCCAGGAAGGCCCGGGGGGTGCTGTAGCTCACCCCACACTTCTTCTTTCTCCTCTTCTTTTTTAAAGACAAGCTTTCATTGTAGAGTTCAGGCTGACCTCAAACTCCCTGCTGGGTAGCTCAGGCTGGCCTTGAACTCATGGTGATCCTTGTGCCTCAGACTCAAGTTCTGGAACTATAGGATGTGCCACCTGGCCTGGCCCATTTTTAAATATAAAAACATAACCCCTCAATTTGTGTGTACCCATCAAATCATACACTCAGGTTTTTAAGACTGCATTAAAGCTTTGCTTTCACGGTTCTTTCTGCCTCTTTAAGGTCAAAAGCAGGAAAGCATGTTTGCCTCATATAAACCCATTTCTCATACAACCCTACCCTCCAATGTTGTTTGTGCACTTTGGCAAAAACATAGACCTAGAAGAACACTGTTACATAATTCTTCCTATTCAACACGGACAATCCAGAAGATAGAGAGTCAAGTCGCTAGTACACTATTTGGGACCAGAGGCAGCTAAAATCCAAAAATAATCTCCTTTGTTCTTCTTTCCCATTATTTCTGCAAGAGCTACAATCATGTACCAGAATAACTCAAAAATGTCTTCTCCTGTCCGACTTCCAGTGCACAGGCTGTCACTCCATAATATCGGCATAACTAAAATAATCCATGTGCTCTCCTCAAATGATAACCTCACATTTTTTAAAAAGCTAAAAACCACTCCTGTGCAGGTTGGGAACACAGAGATGAAGACAAATGAAGGAATAGCAGTAAAGGGAAGTAGCAAACCCATTTACCCCAAACTCAAAGACCAACATCACAGATACTTCTGCCTTTTCTTCCTGCAGCAATCATTCCCATGCATGCAGAGGTGGATGAAATCAGATAAGCATTCTAAAGTGAGAGGTTATGGGTAGAATCTGCAATATCTTCTGCAGCCACCTCTGTCATTTGCTGGAGGCAAGCAGCAGCGGAAGAGAGGAGGGGGACACGAAATCAGGAATGTACTTCAGGAAGGAAACCAGCAACCACCACCCCTTCCTATGTCCCTCAGCAGATAAAGCAATAAGCCCAGTAACAGAAGGCATCTGAGAATAATGTAAAAATATGGCAATAAAATCTGATTAAAATGTTCTGATCTAAAGAGAAGCAGGGAAAATCCACATGGAGAATATGAAAAGTAAGCAAAGATTTCAATTGTATTTAAAGGACCTGTTGAGGATTCTGTAGCTTCAAACCCTACAGAAGCCGCAAGCATTCACAGGCCTCACACTCAAGAAGGTGAAAGAAGGCGGCAAACATCAAGTTCACGTTCCAAAGAACTAATATGGAGAAAACATGGATGCTCAGCTTAGCCTCCAGGTTTTGTTAGTGCCCTAAGGGGAGCACAACTGACTAGTCAGCTTCTGTTACTGAAGTGGAATGCTTGGCACAGGTGACTTACAGAAAAAAAGGTTTAGATTACAGTTTTGCAGGTTTAGAGTTCAAAAAGCATGTGCAGGTACAAGCTCTGGCAAGAGGTGCACGGCAGATGTTATAGCCAAACAAGAATCCCAAGTGGAGCAGGAACTAGAAGAGCTGGGTAGGACTCAGCATGTTCTTTTTACAACAAATCTCTTAGGAGAGCTAGCAAACGTGTGTGTGTGTGTGTGTGTGCGCGCGCGCTCCCCCAGTAAGACCTAAGCAATTCTGCTAAGCGCACCTCCTAAAAGCTCTACCTCTGCAAAAGAGGACAAGTGTGGAGTCCAAGCACTCACTCCCTTGGGAGAAAACCATACACATACCTTAGTAAACGGTAAGGAAACTTCAAGAAAAACAACAAATCAAAAACAAAAAATTATCTTAGGAATGGGTTGGGGGTTCCATTTTCGGGTTTTGGAACCCAAGGACTCATACCTGCCAGGCAAGTTCTCTACCGCTAACCTACTTCCCCAGCCCAATGGAGCTGGTTTAACAGTCCTGCAGCCAGCCACAGACTAATAATACAGAGCAACACGATGGAAAATACAAGAAAGAGCAGAGAACTTCTGGGAAACCTGTTCATGCCCAGCCCCCCCCCCCCCCGGGGTAATAACACAACAATCCAGAGATGTCAAAACATGATTTCTTGTAAGTATGGGTATGCATTGGGGGGAGGGGGGTGCTTTTAACTTAAAAGGTGATTATACTTTTATTTAGATGGCTAATGTGTTGGTCGAGACCTAAAGGTACCGGCAAACAAAAAAGCATAGTGATCAGTTCTCCAAGCAGATGAGAAATACCTTTCTCAGAGAACAGAAAATGAAGGAAAAAGACTGAAGCACAGTCAACTCCAACTGAGGACAGCTGACTATCACCAGAGGGGACATGGTCCCTCCATCTAGGACAACACAGACCCAGTCAGATGAACGTGGCCATGCTATCCCCAGGTAGGCATTTTCTTGTTAAGAAGCCACTACCAATCCAAGGCATTCAGTAGGAAGGGTACTGATGAATGGGGGGCAGATTATCATTTCTTTCAGATGGCACAGACCTCCGGAATTTGCTGGCCCTCCTAGCTGCACACAACACTACCTTGCCAGCCAAAGTGATGCAGAGACAAATACCAAATTTGTGAGGATCAGGTGTGGAGGCGGAAAGCCCTCTAAGGGTCTGGCTGGCAAAACAGAGAGGCTGAAATCACCCTGGCAAAGCTGCAGGGAAAGCAGGTTTTTGCTTTCTTGTCAGGATAAAGCTGGTTTAAAAACAACAACAACAACAAAAAAAAAAGACCAAAGAGAGAAAAATGGTGATCATTATAGAAAACAGCCAGATAAAACACCAAATATATATGGGGGATAGAACAAGAGAGGACAGATCCTCAAAATCACCTGAAAAACTTATTTTCTCCTCACTTAGACATAAATTGAGTTATTTACTTATCAGTAAGTGCAGAAAAGGAGGAGGGATCTGTTGTTTTTAGAAAAAAAAAATTAAAATTCTCAAAGAACAGAGCAATCTGCGCTGACTGTTACTACCACAGGAAGATCACCCCCTCATTCCTCATTATAAAAAGGGGTGACCGCAGAGATCCTAGAATTATACTGATGCTGATTCAATACAAAGTTAAATCAATATTTAGAATCTGAAGAGTAAATTAAGTGTTTTAAAATTTTGTTGTGAAATAATTTTTAACTTATAAACCCAGCACCTTAGGGGTCAGCTAGAAATTTATTGAGGAAACTTCACTTTTCAAAATGTCAGGTGGAAGCATGCTTTGAAAAGCTCACTGTGGGTTCAGCATTCAAGAAAATGAGAAGAAAGCCATGAGCATGACAAGGACAGGATGAGACAAGTGACTCATAGCCAGAAAATACATCAGGCAAGAGACCCAGTTCCTTTCCACAGCAGAACTGCAGCCTGCTCCACATCATCACAAGGAAGGTGAAAACAAGGTGGTCTTAGAAAGGACTCAGTGGCCCATACTTGTGAGTCGGGCTCTGCCACTGTCAGAGCAGACCGCCCAGGGCAAGGCAAACGCCCTGTTGAAACACATGCCTCTTTGCACCATCATGAGTGAGCAGCTGACTCACCACACAGGCTTACATGACGTATCTCCTTTACAAACTCTGAGGTTTTTCAGGAAGTAATCAGTGAAGGTGAATGTTGTACAGGGTTATAGGATAGGGCAGCTCACTGGAACAGGGAACATGTTCAGTGATTATAGTTTTCTATTAAAACTACCAGCATATTTTCCCTTCATATTATTCAAGTGCATTAGCAAATGGGGAAAAAATCTGAA